ATCATTTATTTAAATCCAGATGTCTTACTAACAAGTAACTATATGTGACCCTGGAGCACAAAAGCAGTCTTAAGTCGCTGGGGTATATTTGTAGCAATAGCCAAAAATACATTGTATGGGTCGAAATTATTGATTTTTATTTTATGCCAAAAATCATTAGGATATTAAGTAAAGATCATGTTCCATGAAGATATTTTGTAAATTTCCTACTGTAAATATATTAAAACTTCATTTGGACAACTTTAAAGGTGTTGTAGTTCCAACCACGCAAGTTTGGGAATGTTCATTTGAACTCTGGTTTCAGGAAACAACAAATCGTTGAACTATTTTAGTAATGACAGAACTTGTGACCATAGTTTGCTAATGATGCTTTCGGGAAACACACCCCTGTATGAGTTTCTGTTTAACAAAATAGAACATATTTAAAAAAATAAATAAATCAAATGTTGGTAACCATACAGTTGGTTGCTAACATTCTTCAAAATATCTTCAAATTATCCGCATTGATTTCCTTTATGAAAAAAAACTAAAATACTATGTAAGTCAATAGGGACCAGCAAATGTTTGGTCACCAACATTCTTCGAAATATCTTCTTTTGAAGAAAGAAATTCATACAGGTTTAGAACAACTTGAGGGTGAGTAAATAATGATTCATGTGTGGGTGAACTATTCCTTTAAGGATTGGAACACTTTTCTTTTGTTTTAGTTTGGAAAATAAAGCTCAGGTTTTAGAACAAAAGACTTTGCGGTTTGTCATACGGGAGCAAACCGATTACCAATCTCTGACAACAGTGTTAGACAATGTTTGCAAGGGAAGATTGAAACTATCTTCAAGCATTCGCACCGCTGTAATTACAAGTGTGAATCAGCCTGGGACTTCAGTCAATAAGCACTGGCTATTTTGAGAAATGTTTCAATCTGCAGACAATTTGCTTTAAATGCGAGCCGCTATTAGAAGCTCTATTACTCTCATTATTGTATGTTTTGCAATAATGTAAATATCATTACCTCACACGACATTCGATTTTTTTTTTTCTGCAGAAGGTGAAATTAAAAATACTATCTCTTAGCACGTGGGGTCTGATTCTTTTTTAAAAGCTCGATGGTAGAGTAGCGATTCCCCTGAATACAAAAACCACTTAAACAGCATCAGAGTGAGCCGCTGCCTCGGGCTGACGAAAGCATTCAGCGCTGTCACCCACATCAGTCAAGCAGTACTAGTCCCTGTGGAGGAGAAACTGATACGGACTACATCTTTGGAGCTGTTTAATGTGAAATATCACATGCGAAAAATAGTAGCTCTCCTGGCTGTTGACATAGCGCCACTGACAGCTCTTGCTGTGCCTCTGCACGCTGGAGAGTAGCGTGGTTTCAAAACACCTTTTACACATAATGTAATTGCGCACATATTCTCCACTGCTTGTGCTGATTGGCTTCATATACACACACACACATGGACCTGCTGGGCAAATGCACTAAAGGTGTCTCACGCACTTCTCAGAGAATGTATTAGGGCCTCTACGGGTGTCTGCCTGCACGCATGAATCTATCCACAGTGGCGTGATGTGCTCAGCCCCTCAAAAGAACAATGTCTCTGAAAGACGCCTCCAATTTCCAAAGCAGCTCTGGGGTGATTTACAGCAGCCTCCGAGAGCGACCTGGCCAGGACTCATTCTGCTTGCTCAGAGAGTGAGTGAGCGGCATCATTTTTCCTTAATGAAGTTAGTGACCCTCTGAAAGGTGACACGTTTACCGCTCCACTGATTTATGCACTGATGCTCTGAGGCAGACTATAGCAGAGTAAGCCCGGGAGGATGTGGCCACATCTCTCTCGCACTTTTCTCTCTTTCTGTTTATAGCTTTCTGTATTTGTGCTATTCTGTCCAGTTCTCTGGTATTAAGACAAACTGACATGTAAAATAAGAGCATACAATAGCTCTGTTCCAAAACCTAGTAAGCTGTCTAAAGCCCTCAATATACTATGATTTGTATGTGTGTGCAAGCGTATGCATAATGTGTGGCGTAAATATCATCATCAGCACAGTGCATGTGCAGCCCAATTATTTTAACCCCATATACTTTGTACGTTCAGCTCGCACATGCACCTTGATTTTTTTTTTGGCACTAGTTCATTCATCCACAAGGTGGCAACACTGTCCTGTCCTGTTGTTTTTTAATCGAAAAAGACGTTGAATAGACGGAACAACAACAAACTACTGAAAAAGTGAAAAGTGAAAGTGACGTGACATGTGGCCAAGTATGGTGACCCATACTCGGAATTAGTGCTCGGCATTTACCCATCCAAAGTGCACACACACAGCAGTGAACACACACAAACCGTGAACACACACCCGGAGCAGTGGGCAGCCATTTATGCTGTGGCGCCCGGGGAGCAGTTGGGGGTTCGGTGCCTTGCTCAAGGGCACCTCAGTCATGGTATTGAAGGTGGGAGAGAGCGCTGTACATTCACTCCCCCCACCTACAATTCCTGCCGGTACGAGACTCGAACCCACAAACTTTGGGTTATGAGTCCGACTCTCTAACCATTAGGCCACGACTTCCCCTGGAGACCACAACAAGTCATAGATGGGAATGTTTCAGTTGAAATATCCCACTTCCGACCTCAGTGAGTTCCAATCACACCACACGATGGCACCATGACTCAAGAACATTTCATATTCTGCAAATTATTTAGGACAGACTGTCCTAAAATCAGTAAATTGTAATTTGTTATTCAAAATGTGTATGTTATTAAAAATATATAAATTTAAATGTATTTATATAGTCTAATATCAAATGTAATAGTACATAATTCCAGACATTAGCACTAAATAGCTGTCTATCTAGTAGGCATTTAACAAGAAAAATAGGCAGGCATTCATTGATGAACAAACAATTATATGTTGCACATTCATATGATACGTTCATTGGAATACATAAAAGAGAATTTTCATGTTCCTCATGAACCAGCTCTCTATTGGTCACCGCCATCTTGGAAATTGTCAAATAATGTTTAACACTGAGGTTCGGGTTGATTGATTTGTCCCAGATGTCCAATTTGGAGTGGCATTCTGGAATTATTTTAAAGCAGGAGGTGGTAAAAATCAATCTGTACAAAGACATATTTTTGCTTCTGAAGAGAAATTGCGCAGACACTGGACAAGGATGAAACTTTCCAGTGCGCATCTGTCAAGAGCCTGTGTTTGCACATGCTACCAAATAGAGTATATTTGAACAGGCTGTGTATTGGGTGTTCACACCCTATTGAAGTATACTTTGGACTTAAATAGGCAGCTAACTTTCAAGGCAGCTTCTTAACCATCATGGTTAGTGACTTGAAACACTACCAACTCTGTCCATGTGAAGGAGACTATTCACAATTGATTTCAATGGAGTTTAGCATGTTGCTAAGCTAACAACATGGTACTTTAAATATGAAAATGCATAGCATGCACAAATGTTGGGTAAAATAGTCATTTTAATTTACACTGAATTATTTTTATTGATGTTTTTCAGTGTTGAATGACACATGTTTATTAGGAATCAGCATTTTCTTGGATTTGTTTACATATTTGTTTGACAGCATTACTGTGGCTCAATTCATGCAGTTCCTATAGCTCAAATCATAGATATCTATATACATACATCCCTCATTCGACTGCTCCAGACACGCCACCATGTCCACTATCCTGGAACGGTCAACATTTCAGAGGCTGCTTAATATTCACACTAAAACCAATTAATTTTCATGGAAAATGTCAACATTATTCAGCCTATGGTTGTGAAAACCATAAATATCTATGGTAGCGTTCTCTGATGATCAGTAACATTTGTAAGTGTGTTCTCAAGTGTTCATTAACCTAGCAGCTTATATGGTATTTATGTAAGGATATCTGTTTCTCAAATATTAAATCAATAGCAGTGCAAGCTAGTAATGCAAGGCCGTGGGTTTGATTCCCAGGAAATGCATGAACTGATCAAACGTATCGAATGCAATGTCCGTTACTTTGGGTAAATGTGTAAATATTTCATCTGTATTTCTGCTATTCAGAATATTTGGATTTCCCTCTGCATGATATTAAAATACTGAACATAAAAAAGCATAGACATAGTCCCTTTCAATTATTTCTAACATCGTTGCCTATGCAAATATGCTAAATTATTTCTAGGTGACAGCTTGGAGTGGGGACCAGCATGAGCAAAGTGATGTTCATACAGGGCTCTCCTTTTCTTAGTGGGTTAAGATATACATACGCCGCTGTAGGGCTCCAGCCTGCCTCCACAAGCACTGTTTTACATTCTAATTATTAGAGTTGACAGGCTTTATGGCTGGGGCTCAATACTGAGGCCTTTTTCTTGGCACATCTCGCATGTGATGTCAGAGCAAGTTTAATGAGATAAGAAAGTTTGAGTCCTGTAGTTTATGTTCTCTTTTCTTTGAGCAAATCACGTTCTGTTGCTCGCAACTACTGTAGCATGCTTACTGTACGTGTCAGCTGCGCTAACAAGTAGGTGAAGAAGGAAGAATTTCTGCGTTTCCAGTTGATTTGTCTTAATTGACTTGATTTAAGCGGGAGACATCAGCAGAAGAAAAGGTGTGCCACGATGACTGCGATTAAAATATACAATGGTTTTGGAGCCGTTCATTAATTCTTTGATATGTAAAAAGCCAATCTCAGACACAAACAACAGAGACTTTTTTTAAAGGTTTAATTAAGCTACAGGGAATTCAGTGCATATTGTAGGTAAACACTGAGAACCATGGGAATACCATTTACATTAAACGAACTGGTGTTGTTTTTTCTCATTATGAGATGAATTAAACATTTATCACTGTCTTTCATTTCTCTCAGAAGCTGACATTTACAGGTCACCTTTTGATAGTGCCAACTTTGTATTGTCTCCAAGTGCCTTAACAGTAAGAGAAAGTATGATTTATTTTGTCTTCCGTGTTCACCTTTTTACTGAGCCTCCGCATTTTTCATTTCATCATCCACAGCTATTGAAGTGAACCTGCAGAAAGCTCTCGCCGAGGCCTCGGAGACCTGTACCCAAGAATGTCTGATCCTGGGTCATTCTGACAGTTGCTGGATGCCGCCACCGCTGACCCAATTCCAGACGTCCGGTGCCGCCACTCTGTCCTCCTTTGGTTTTCAACAAAGCTGGGCGCGGGGGACCAAGCCAGATGGGCGTCACACCCTTGGCAGGTCAGTGCCCAAAGTTGATCTGGACAAAGGGAGCAACCGGCCCCAATTCTACAACACACTTGAGAGACACTGCAGCAAGAAAGAGGATCCCATCAAGGTCATCCCTCTAGCCAGCTTTTCCGCCACGTCCAGCCCGCAGACGTCTACGAGCGGAGGCTCTTCCGCCTTCCTGCACGAGCATCAGCTGTAGAAGTGAGGGTAGGTCTCAGAGCACTGCATAATGAGAGTGATTGAAATGGAAAAGCTGACGGGTTCTGATCGTTATTAGCATGTGTCAAATGTTTCATGACACAGGATGTTTCTAAACTCAGCAGAAGGGGAAGTTAAAGCAAAGGACGGTAGCTTTCGATATCCTCTGTCGAACTGAAACATGTACAGCAGACAAATGGTAGATATAGACCAAAGTAGCTCCTCAAGTGAAAAAAAAATGGTGTGAAATGTGTCTTAGTGACAGATTAGTGGCAAATGAATTAAGCTTTACTGTTGATCAAAAGGGACAAGATTTTTATTTCATTCTTTTGTGCGCCTCTTGAATGCAACTTAACAAATTACTTTTAAGTCTGTGCTCGTGGAAGAAATCATTGCATACGTTTACATGCACACTGAAATTCCTATATAATTATTAAAAAAAAGCTGGTGGTTATTTCTTTGTGCTCTGCACATGATCACAGACAATAAAATTTAATATTGTAAACAGAACAATAAAAATTAGGCTCCGAGTTAAGAACCGTATTCGGAATATTACGAGGCATGTAAGCGTAGTCAGTGAGGTTAAGTGTAATGTCTGAGCGCTGGGTGACTGCAGTAATTCTTCAGCTTTTTGTGAGGTGCTTCGTTTCCAGCTGAATTTCCGCCTGAGTCAGTTTTATTCTGCTAAAGAGACCTAGTTCAATGCCCCTGAATGTTTTGCTTACTCTGTCAAGTCTACAGATACAGCTAAGCCTCTCTGCAAAAATTAGCCTTGCTCGGTGTTAACACGTAGAAACTTTTATGTATTAGGGTGCTTTTTTCTTATACTTTGACGTTAGCTTTTTCTCCCTGGTGAGCTTAGAGCCTTCCTCTGATGTTCGGCATGTTGGTAGTTTCCGTGCATCTGACACCCTTTCTCTGCCATTATAAGAAACCCGCTTATTTTCAACATTTTCTCATTAGCAGAGGCACAGACATGGCTAAAAAGACATCCTTTGTTTTTTCGCACTACTATATCAAATTTTTTCTCTTGATTTATACAATTTATGCACCATAATAAGTGCTGTGGAACCAATTACAAGAATCTCCCAATAGTATAATTACTTTGATCAGTAATCACCATAACCGCTATAGAAGCAGAACACTGCTCTATAATAGCATAATTGGCTACCTTTTAAATGTGTGTGTGTGTGCGTATGTGTGTGCCTGTATGGTGCCACTTCTTTTTAAACTTGCGAAAAAAATTAAGCGTTTGCGAGATTTATATATAATGATGTCAAAGAAACAGCCTTAAGATGTAGATGTGTATTGTATGGATGTAATGACTGCTAAGTGAAGTAGAAGTTTGTTTACAATCGTGTCATATTTTCATCCAGTTTATTCAAACAGAGACATCAAGTAATCCCACAAAGAGGCAGTGTGGGTTGAGAAATCAGCACAAATGTAATTTGCCAACAGTTCTTCTGTTCTAGTATATACTGATGACACAGAAATATTTGGGTCAGTGATCCAAAAAATTACTTCACTATAAAATAGTGTACGTGCCAGCGACAAGAAATGTGTCACAGCGAGACGTGTTGGAGTGTGTTGCTCTTTGATGCGAGAGAACTGACAATCACTCCGGCAGCTGTTCCCTCAACAACAGTTTAAGATCTGTCGAACACTCTTGATTAAGAGGAATAATTGCGCTGTGGGACTCTATTAAGGGAATGAAGTGGTGGCCTGGTCTCTCGCTCGAGCTTTTGCATGTCTGCTAGCTGGGACGGTGTAGGAGTATCGAGTATAAGGATGGTGACTCAACCCTAACTCTCCTAATCAATACAACAGATCAATAGATCAGACAATAGATCAGAAGCGCTCGAAAGACAAGGTCTGAAATACTAACATCAGCCGTAGTGTCTGTATTGCTTAACAGTGCTTCTGTTCATTCAAAACACAATAGAAAACACCTACTTACAAATAACTGAAAGATTATCATCAGATTGTGAAGGTCTTTTAAATATCCAATAATTAAAAACAATGTTTTTTGAAGAAGACAGCTGTAGAGCTTCAAAACATAAATAAATTCTTTAAAAATCCTACAATGTGATTTTCTGGATTTTTTTTTCTCATTTTGTCTCTCATAGTTGAGGTATACCTATGATGAAAATTACAGGCCTCTCTCATCTTTTTAAGTGGGAGAACTTGCACAATTGGTGGCTGACTAAATACTTTTTTTCCCCACTGTATTTACATATTTTTTTCAGAACTGCATGGATTTAGAGGTTTTACATTCTTAAAGTCAACATGAAATCAAACACACCCTGTTTACTTTCGTAATGCATGTCCGTGGGGTTTTTGTGAAATGTCTGCGACATACTTTGGTTAAAATCCCTCAATGGTCACGTAAAACAACAACCTTTTACCTTGCCAAAAACAGCTCTGTTTACAGCGTGCTTTTGTGGTGCATGTCTCTTTAAATGATAATGAGTATTCTGTGATGCGTTACCATCAACAACCCCAAAAAACTTACCTGTTAGGGCGAGAACTCCTGGGCCCGGGGTAGAGCTCAAGGCTTGGATTCAGGAATAGATTCCTTTAAGGGAATACGACCAAGAGCCTAGATACATACTAGTCTTGGCCTGTCACATGATCCAGGAAGTATGAAGCCGAAACCCAGCTTATCGTACCGTCTGGACATATATCGACGAGTGAGATAAACACTGCAAGTCGAGCACCCGGTTTCTGAATCCAGCAGAGGGGGTGCTCACTGAGGACCTACCCTAGAAAGGGACAGAAACACACAGATCCCGGGAAACACTGCAAAGAAAGCTAGCAGAAGGGTTACACACAACCACCAGCGCATTAAATACACACATATATATATGTGGTTCCCGCGTCGGAGCCCCTTCCGAAGAAGCCTCTGATCCGGACCATCAGTAAGGTGGTCACTATGAAGCCATAGAACCAACCAAACATCATAGGTCCAGCATAGGAGACTGTAATGCAGGAAATTCCCACCTAACCTCGTTCAGGTGGAGATGGTGGTTACAGTATGGGCCAGGACCCCTGGGTTGTTCGGGCTCAGACCTGGACCTCCTTTAACCAGATCTGTCAGCAGGTCAGCCTGATATTCTTGGAGCATCACCATCGTGTGCAATGAAGCGACAGCCCGACCTGCTGCTGCTGCGTATACCCTGGCATTAGAGCGAGATGTCAAGGATGGAGTCTTAAAAGAGGACGTCTCACCCATAGACAGATAGCTGGCCAGCATCTCTCTATAGGTGCATCTTCTCATAACCGCTTTCGCGCATTGCCTCAATGTTGGCATAACTCATATGCTGGAATCGATGGATGCGTGAGGAAAAAACGACCTCTTCCATTCCTTCTCAATCTCTGTATGGAAAACAGGAAGAAAGGAAGGCTCACCTGAGCTGGATGGTTATGGCCAGAAAAAATAATGTTCATCGAGATGACCTCATGACGTCACTTTCTTCGCACGCTTCACGGCAAGTAAAGTCTCGCCATGGCGCTATCCATAATTTTCAAAAGCTCATCATACGCAGGGCAGGAGGATTGGGAAGGCTCAGCCTCAGCTTCTTTGCCCTCCTCAGACATTTCCTGCTTTTTCTGGGCTGAACCCAGCAGAGCACTGGCCCCTAGATCAGAGAATGTTAATGAAATAACATCATCCTCCAGCAGCTCACTCTCGTCCACAGCCGACGATCGCAAGAGGGAAACCTCTCTTCAAACTCATCGGCCAGATCCACCTGCGATCCCAACGAGCTCATTCTCCTCCGTGCTTCAGCAGCGCCGGGACCTGAATCGCGGGAAGCAGATGGCTGCCCGTCTTTCCTCGAAAAGAGAGACAAACGAGAGCGGAGCTTTTTCATTGGAAAAACGCTCGCAGTGCATGCCGATTGCCCCCTCGGAGATATCGCGTGCGTGCTCTTCGCCCAAACAAATAATGCATAGATCGTGTGTGTCATCGGACGTTAAACATATCCTCTTAAACGCATTGCTAGTGCTCGCCATAATGATATGAATAGAGATCGCTCTTACCACAGAAATACACGCTTCAAACAAAACAGTCAATGAAGACGAAGAAGAGGATGATGTGTTCTCTCGGCGCCTATTTATACTATAGTCGCACCGGTAGTGACGTCATGGCTGTCGCTGGCCAACGTGTTGTTGGTGTTTTTTCAATGTATGCTTCAGACACGGGTCACGAAGAGGCATTCCCCATAGCGACCCCTAGAGTTCGAAGTTCCCATGAATGGGAATCCACTGCGTCCTCAACTACAAAACATAATTGTTGAGAGTGACTTCTCGTCCAATCATATCCCAATTGATAAATATAAGCCGTTGTTTTCTCATTGAATATCCTGTTTCTATTAGAAAATTGTCACACTTACGGAAGTTAAACGTGTTGTAAATGCTATTTCATGTTGACTTTAAAAAATGTATGAGCTTATGAAGATAAACATTTGGTGAAATCTGAAACAGCTATTTTTGAGTAGTGGAGCAACTATATTAGTGCCAAAGGTTTACCAAGAAAAAAGACAAACGTTGTGTGAGAATGAATGAAAATAAGGACATTTGTGATAAATAAATGCATAAAAGGTCTCAATATGCATGGTTATTCTCCCCTCTAGCACTTTTGTACTTTTCTAAAAAGTGTATTCCCTGATGTATCATGGTAAGCAACCTTGGTAATGAGGTGTTTCTTTCCTCTGATAGATTATTTTTTTCTTTTTACATTTTTTGAGCATTTTTTCAGGAAAATATTATGGCAGACCGTCCCAGTAGTCAGGCATCTTCATTTGCATGTGGTTCCAGTTGACCTCCGCTGGCTGATTGTGCTCTGTAGCACTAAACCCTTGTTCTGACACTAATCAGTAGCTTGTGCTGTCATACAGCCATCTCTTTGAATTGTGTTATAGTTAGTATGAAGGATTAGAATGACAACACACTTTGAGTGCCCAACACGTCGTAACACAAAATCAAATAAATTCTCATCATTACCGTACAAAAAAAAAAAGAAAAAAAGAGTGTACATAGATATACTTACCCTTGGAAACAAATTTTAACATTCTGTATGTGTAAACATAAGGAAAAGTGGTTTATGCTTACTGAAAATAGTTGATAAAGACAAAAATCATGAAAAACGAGGACAATCTCTGTTGTAATGTATTCAAAACATATGCATACTGTATATTATTATATGTGTGCGCGTGTGTGCGTGTGTTTGTGTGTGTGCATGTATGTATACTGGCACAACAGTTGCCGGATAATGTATGTACACACTATGTTTCTTGTATAGAATCTGAAAAGAATATGAAACTGCTGATATATTAAATTTGCTTGTAATTTAAACATAATTTGCTGTATTTCACAATTATTTCTTTCTTTGGAGGTGAG